CTGATGACGGAGGCAGTATGACCTCTGAAACGTCGGTAAACATCTACAAGATCACACAGCGTAACAACCCAGAAGACAGAAATCTTCATACTCATCGCCCTGATGATGGAGGCAGTATGACCTCTGAAACGTTAGTTAACATCGACCAGACTACACAGCGCAACAACCCAGAAGACAGAAATCTTCATACTCTGATGACGGAGGCAGTATGACCTCTGAAACGTCGGTAAACATCTACAAGATCACACAGCGTAACAACCCAGAAGACAGAAATCTTCATACTCATCGCCCTGATGATGGAGGCAGTATGACCTCTGAAACGTTAGTTAACATCGACCAGACTACACAGCGCAACAACCCAGAAGACAGAAATCTTAATACAAATTAAATTCGAAACAACAACAACAACAACAAAGTTTACTGCAAATGCTCGTGGCAAAATACGTTAAACTGTTTCAGAGATACTTGCCATCATTTCGTGCAAAGAACGACTAAGAGATCGAGCCGTGCAAATTCGCTCAGTTTTGCAAAAATCATCTTGGCCTGTTTTGGAAAAACGAGCAGAGAGAAATTTCTGCTCAGCTGGAGGCTGCCTGTCTAACGCGGGCTCTTTAATTATCCGGAAACAGTGCTCTGTAATCCACACTACAGTTTCAGCACACGCGCATGAATGAAACCTCATTTCCCAGTACCCAATACTACATTTACAGAAACATCGTTTATAACACAGAGCTCGGGGAATCAAATCACCAAGGTTTCATTTCCAGATGGGCTGCAGCAAAGCTAAGGAATGAAGCTGGCTAATTACACTGCATGCTACACCAGCAAAATTAATATTCAAAATAAGACCCGCAACCCACGTGCGGCCTGCGAGTTTAACCAAATTAATTATCTGGCAGAAGAACCCGGAGATTCAACACCGGGATGTATCAATAACCATCGATGAACAGAAGGTACCTTCCATCTGCCATCTTCACAACACATTCTCTTTATTATTTTTATTCAGTGTTCTGTCTTACGACAGGTCCATTGCTCTGCCCAAAAAGAGCTCTCCAGTTTTCCCTATCCTCAGCTTCTCGTTTTAATTCCTGGAACGTCATCTTCTTTCCTTGTTTAAGGTCGTCGGTTAGCTGTATCAATCTTCTTCCTAGTCCTCTCTTTCCTTCAACCTGGCCTTCGGTGATATCACTCATTAATCCATTCCTTCTCATAATATGTCCCTGCCAGTTAGCTTTCCTTCGTGTAATCGCCTGCAGAATGATTCTTTGCTCTTTGACTCTCCTCAATACTTCTTCGTTGGTCACTCGATCCGTCCACCTGATCTTCTCTATTCTTCTCCAACACCACATTTCAAAACTCTCCAGGTATTTCTGTTCCTTCTTCCTGAGTGTCCAAGTCTCTGCTCCATACGTAACACTTCACTAGTCTCTTCTTCATCTCCAAGCCCAACTTGCTACTGAGAAGTATCCTCTTCTTGACGAAAGCTGCCTTGGCCATGGCTATCCTTGCTTTTACTTCCTTGGTGCATAGAGCACATTCTCTTTACACCATCTTAATGTTATATTTCAATTTCCTGATCATTCAAGCGGACGGCATACACGACGTTTCCGAAGCATGCCTGTCACATCATAGCCGCTTAAGCTGCCCTCCGTCCAGATGACGAGTTTAAATCACGTTTGCCACCCACTGAGAATAACTGCCATCACCTGTTTCACGCGTTAAGAGTCAGAGTTAGAGCCGACCTACCTACTTCTTCTTAAAGTGCCTATCCTTTCCGGATGTTGGCGATCAGCATAGCAATTTGAGCCCTCCAGTGGACATCGAGAACCAAGTTTTAGGTTGTGAAGCCAGGAGATTCTTGGCCTGTCAGGTCCCCTCTTTCCAAATACTTTTCTCTGGATTATCAGCTGAAGCAGCCCGTATTTATCACTATTTCTCATGATATAACCAAAATATTCCAACTTTTTCCTTTTTATGGTGTTAACAATCTCGAGTCTTTGCGGAGTTTCTCGAGAACTTTTTTAGAGCCGACCTACTTACAGACAGGCGGATTGTGAATAATAAATTAAGAATTCGGTGCAGCGTAACATATTTATTTTCCAATTGCAACTGGTACGTTCTCGGATTGCGTCACAGTTGATTTTACCACCTGCGCTGTTGAACACTCGAGACAATTAATTAGTCGCTGTTTAACCCACGTGTCTGGGAAGAGCAGTTCGTCGTGAGGAGACAAAATAGGAAGGAATAGTCGTCTAGTAGGATGCACCGGGTTCGACCCACGTACAAGAAGACCTCCACAAATCCTCTTCATCGATATATTTAAAGCACGGATACATGGATCAAGTTCACGGAGACAAGAAGATGGTTAATATCAGTGTATCACGGTGGTCTAGCGGTTAGAACGCTGGCCTTGTAATCCTGGGGTCTCGGGTTCGATTCCCGGCGGTGCCCGAATTTATAACTTGGGTTGGGCAAGGCCGTGGTCTAGGCAACACGGAGTTTTCCTCCGGGGGCTTCCCCGGTTTCTCCGTGGCATCCCAACAATTACTCCATTCACACACAGAAGAAGGCAATGGCAAACCACTTCTGGATCATCTGCCAAGAACGTATATGAACAGGTCCCAGTCCGAGAAAAGGATGGAAGGATCCTGTTCATATGGACCTGTCGTCAGACAGCACACTACAAATAAAAACAATAAATAAATCAGTGATACATACGTTTCCTTGGATACTTACGTGTGTGTGTGTATAACCCTGTTTAACGATTAGTTTTAACATTGTCCGCGTAACGGACAATAGCAACGGTGCCTTGCGGTCGTGTAGACGTTTTAATGGATCTTTTAGAGCCAGACTCTGTATTAACACGTTTGTATAATACGTTTAAATGTGTTTCAGTGTGGTCGGACAATAGGAAGAATTGTATGTTCTTGATCTGTTCTGCAGTTACCAAAGTACGAGCCCAACAACAAACCCCCGATCTGCGGTATGAACAGTTCTACCGACTGACTGGCTACACAGGCTTCTATTGGGGACGACCAAATTCGAAACACGTTGCAAGTCGCTTGCAGTTTCACACACAGGGTCCTGCACCGTTCCCTGACTGTACCTTGCGAGGACGAGGAACTTATCGGATTACCACGACACTCAGATGTGCAATTCTGTGACGCCTGGGGAGGGGCCGAGGGTGAAACATGAAAGCGGAGTGTAAAAAGGAACTAATTTAATGGAGACACGATGTTGAGGTTAGAGGAAACCGCGTGTCTCAGTACCAAGTGTTCGTGTCATTGAAGTCACTGCGAGGTGTGCTTTGATGTGAGGATC